TGCAATGCTTCAGCACAATCATTTTTAAAAAATACAAAACTATATAGTGGATATTGTAGCAGTGATTGCTGCAATTAATCAAGAAAATATATAGGAAGAATGACATTTCTCGAACTAATGAAGTATTTAAGGATATGTTGTATGAAGATCATCATAAAAACAATATTAAATCACCTCTTATACAATTGTCTAGGTAACTGACTTTGTGTTTTAGATTACATGGATCTTGTCTGTTTAGGTATCATTAGAATGTTATTACAGTTTTGGGTTAAGGGTCCTTTAAAAACTAACACAACAAGTCATAAAAATAAGTGAACACCAGAAGTTGTTATATAGATTGATACCAAATGAATTTGTTTATTAACCACTTTCCCTAACTGAACTAGATCATTTGAAGGCAACTGAATTTCGTTTGTTTTTGTTGTATATCGTTCCATTAGTTCTTAAATACAATTTGTATATTATTTTGTTCAAACATTTTTTGCTTCTTCATTAAGCTATTTCATGCTTCTTCATGAAGCTATTTCATGTTGTTTTAGCAGTAAGCTTTGTCAAATTATGTGCAACTTTGCTCAAAAATTGTTAACAAATTTTGTACAGAATTCACAGAAATTATATGGACCAGTGTTTATTACTTACAATGTTCACTGCCTTGTTCATTTACTGGATGTTTGTTGGTTTGGTGCATTAGATGAAACAAACGCTTTTCATTTTGAAAATTACTTACAAAGAGTTAAAAAACTTATACAAAAACTTATAACCACTTGAACAAGTTATAAGACGAATTTCAGAAAAAATGCTTATCTCTGTTTCTGATAAAGATACAAAAAATAGTTACCTTGTGTGTAAATATGAGCATAACAATGGTCCAATAATATGGCCTGAGTTATTTAATGTCATTTAATATAAAAGTATTAAACTTCAATCACTTATGTTTTCATTAATACAAAATAATAACTGTGTACTTTTGAATACTTTCAAAGTTGGATAACATCAAAACATCATTAAAAAAGATTAAGATGTATATATAGTTGTAAAATTATTTTGTAACGTGAACTAATTTTATGAATATCCTTTAGACTCAAAATTGTTAAATACATTTAAAGTCTCTCAAGTTGAAGATATAGTTTCTTTATATAGCATAAATGGTGTAGTTTCAAAATGTGCATGTTTACCTATAAATGAAAGTGAACACCTCATTATATCTATATTATATTATATCTTTTTTATAAAAAAGTATTTAACTGACAAGTTGTTTTTGATAATATAACTGAATTGAGTGAGTTTTTTGTTTATAAAATCATTTAATGTACGCATTCTTATAAATACATTTAGATTATATTGTATTGTTCACTTTCTGGAAACTGATGAAATTGCTCCTAAAACTTGGATTAGATGTACTGATGTTGATGAACATTTTGAATGTTATTGGCCACCATATAAATCCCAGCAAAAAATTTTAAAAACTGTTCAGACATGTATTGATGTTGAAACTGATGAATAGAAAAGTTTTTTTTTTTTTTTTTTTTGCATCTTTTAATGCTGCAATTGCCAAAAAAAAATTTATAACAACTCTAATATTAATAAAAATGTATTACATAAGTTTGACAGCTTATGAGTCGTAATACAAATACATCATGGGCTTTCATACTTATGAAATAAATACTTATTGTTTGTAGTATCTTCTAACTGACTATTTGATAACATTGTTTATAATAAGTCATTTTAACAATTTATTTATTAATAAATCCATAATAATAAATTTATTGTTTATTAATAAAATAATTTTAAACAGTTGTCAACTGTTGATATATCAATCAGTTGATAAGCAAACAATGTCAACTGTTGATATATCAATCAGTCAAGCAATCATTAAAGAATAATTAACATTTAACAATTTAACAAAATATTTTTTTAAGTCACTTATTTAGTCAAAATTGAATGGACTCTTCTTTCGTCTGATAAACCTTTATGAAAATTGCTTTTCCATCAAATCTAATCTGGATAATAATATTAACATTGTGCTAACATAGTACCAATAACATGAACACATTGTGCTAACATAGTACCAATAACATGAACACATTGTGCTAACATAGTACCAATAACATGAACACATTGTGCTAACATAGTACCAATAACATGAACACATTGTGCTAACATAGTACCAATAACATGAACACATTGTGCTAACATAGTACCAATAACATGAACACATTGTGCTAACATAGTACCAATAACATGAACACATTGTGCTAACATAGTACCAATAACATGAACACATTGTGCTAACATAGTACCAATAATCGCTGTGCCACTGACCGATGTTTTTTGAAACTATCAGTTTCAAAAAAAATATTTTTCTTAGACATTATAGCTGATCATCATAAATTAACATTTGGTTGACAAATGTTATTAAATTTTTATTTTTATTTCAATTTTTTATAGCAAGGAAAAATTTGCAAAACTCGAAAAAGAGAGATTAATCTTTCTTTTTTAAATTTTGAAACCTGATAATTATATTACTCAAAGAATACATTATTTTCAGAGGAAACTGTTTATTATAAATTTTAAAGTATATATTCTTTAAAAACCTTAGTACATATATCTTTGAAAACCTTGTACATATATCTATAGTTAACCTAAAATAGCTTTGCCATTTCTAGACAATTCTGACCCACTGTGCATTGTAGAAAATATATTTTAAAATTTTTATGAAAAAAATCAATTACTAAACAGGAACTTTTAAAAAAAGAAAAATTAATTATCAGGTCACTTAGGGGTCACCCATAAAGTACCTACGCCCATATATATATACACATATTCCCCCATCCATTACTTTATTAAACACTTTTTGCAAAAGGGGTTGCCTGAAATAAAAGTCCACCTTACTCAGTGTATAAGGGGTGGCATATGTGTACATAGAGGGACACTTTTATTCATTATACTCAAATATATACAACTCCACTATACCATATAATCATTTATGTTGGTAAACTTGGATATTTACTCAGAAAATTGACTTTTCTATTGGTTAGCTGGTGAATTATGGATAATGATGATATGATACGCTTTTTTTTTTTTTTTTTATTATAGTTGTTACTAACTAAATATTTTATGCAAAAATATTTAGTTAGTAACTTGTTAATTATGATAAATTAGAAAAATAAACTTACTGAGGAGCTTTTTTTTAATTAGTGCCTACGTACTTTTAAATTGACCCCCCCCCTCATACACTTTTGTACGCAAGTTGAAGGCCCCCTCCCCTCTATGAGCCTATGTACTTTATGAATGTACTTTATTGGTATGCAATAGTGAAAAGATTTTGACAGAAATCAGCTCAAGAATGATATTAATTTTTGAGAAAAAAAAATTTATCAGACATTAAATTATAATTTAGAATATATTATGCAAGATATTAGGATAGTGGTACTACAGCATGTTATATTGCTAAAAATTAAAAAGACAAAATATTAAAGTTGTGTTAAACTTATATATTTAGATCTCTGTCTGATTTTATTAGTCAAACATTGCAGCTATTCTTTTTCTATTAAAGGTTTAGCAGAACAAATTTTGAAATTTGTTATAGGATTGTTGATTTTACTAAAGAAAATCACCAAGAGTTGAGAATCAAATATAGATCTCATATTGTTATAATTATTTTTTGTAATTATTTGCAAAACGAAATTCTGTTAGGAAAAATTTAGTAAAAGAATTAAAAAAAAGACAAAGACCCAATAAATATTTCTATTAAAAAGTTATTTTTCTTATCCCTTTTAATTTCAGTTGTAATAAATACAAAATTACAAACTTTTGAATTTATTTTTTTACAAACTAAAGCAGGTAATCAGTTAGAAAAAAATCCAGCACAAGATAATATAAGTACTCAAAGAAAATCTAACAATTTTTTAACCTTTTATTAAAATAAAAATAAAATATTTATTGTGCAGACATAGGCAGTAAAAAAACTGGCCTCTCATTTTTTTATGAAAAAAACAAAAACATATTAGAACGTGTAATTTAAGCAGGCCATTACTTGCTGTATCTTTTAAATCTTTGTTTAAAACATTTTAACTATATCCAAAAAAATTATTTGAGTTAATTTTGAGAGAAGTATTAATTATATAATTGTTGTCTGCATAAAGTCATAGAATTAAAAATTGGTCTACATAAACTTGTAGAATCAGAAGAAAAAAATGCACAAAAAAATAAATTAAAAAAAAAACAACCTCATTCTCACATTACCATTCTTATTTTTAAGTTACTTTAATCTAGACAACTCACATAAAATTGTTTTCTTCACAGAAGTTGCAACCTAAAAATCAAGTGACTTCTTTTTTAGATTGTAACATCTGCTTAGAAATCAATGCATAAAAGGAACTTTTTTATCCTGATGTTTTGTAACCTTATGAAAAAATATAGAAAACTTATTTTATTATATGATTATACTTAGAAAACTTTTTAATTCTACAACAATCTGGAAAAGTATTCTAGAAAAACTATTTGTTAGTTGATATTTTATGAAGTTTCTGGTGTTTTGTATAGTTTCTAATATTTCATAGAAACCAAGCCAGGGAAGGTTAAAAAACTTCCCAAACTTGGTTAGGTAAAATCTAAAGATGATGACTCAAAAAAAAATTTGGCCTCCAAATCGAAGTTTATAAAACAAAACAAAAAAATTCTGTTAACTAATCTGACAGCCTTTACTTGATAAGCTGGTGCAGATGTGAACTTATGTTACAATGTTTCTTGCCAAATTATTGCCAACCTCAATTTTCCTAATTGTGAGGATTGCATATATTGTACACATATTATATTGTACAAATATTATTATATTTTACACATATTATTTTTTTAAGTAAAAAAACATTAAAAAAAAAAAAGAATGGATTTAAAAGTTAAGAGATATGAGAAACTCTAATTTGCATTAATGCACTCTCCCACCCCTTATTTTTTTCCAAACCAACAATAACACAAACAAAAAGATAAATAAAATTTACCTCTATCTGTTGTAATGACCATACTTGAAACTAAAGATCGCAATATTGGTACATGAAGCAAAGAAAATGACCTTAAAACTAATCCTAAAAACAATATCATTTATGATCATAATTGTATAAGGAAAAAAAAATTAAAAAAAAAATAATATACTAAATTTTGATAAAACTATTAAAGTATACAGAAAAATTTCTTTTCCATTATGTATACTAAGTTATTTTTAAGTATGCATTTATTTGAATAATATATACTGAATATAAAAATTTATTAAAAACTTAAATTACCTGAGTATAACAACTTTATCTCATGGGAGAATGCAAGCAAAAAATAATATGCAGAACCAAAACCAAATGAAATCAATACAACCATTGGTGCTGGCAGAAACCTTAGACAAAGTTTAACACCAAGTGCACTACTAACTGATAAAGTAACAAGTAATGTACCAATATAATAACCATTACTTGTTGCAGAGAAACAAAGAGGGCTGTTTAATAAATACAATGTTACCAATGAGAGTAATGGAATTAAAAAAATACTACTAAATGAAAGTGACAAAATGACCAAGCTTAATGCATGTCTATGAACATACTGTCGTTTCCAAGATGCCAATAATTTTGCTGGCATGATAATAATTGTTTTAAAATTTAGTTTTTTCTTTTCAGTATCAGGTAAACTAAAATTCAATGATTCTTTTAATACAAACAATGCCCATAGAAAAGATAGACTTATCAAGCAAGTAATAAAAACTTCTGGGATAGCAAATGAATATTTTGCTATGAAAATCCCACTTGTATAAAAAGAAGTTGCTAGAGAAACTAATACAGCTGATTCAAATATTGCTAAAAATAATAACAAAAGTTTGGTAAAGTTAAAAATAAAATTTATGATTAAACATATCATTAAAACATAAAAAAACAAATAAAACAAACTTAATATACTATGCATATTATATACCATATATTAAGACTAAAAATATTATAAAAAAAAGTATAAACAATAAAAAGAGTGTAAACAATAATGTAATAAATAAAATAATTAATTTTAATTTTAATTTTTCTTTTTATTTTGATTTTGTTTCAGCACTATTTTTTATCTTTTTTCAATGCATTTGCTTTAACAAACCTTGTTCATTGTTTGCGGTCCAGACAACATTCTTGTCATAGTCTTACAAAATTGTTCTCCGATACTCTCTTCAATTCCTTCTGAACTCTTTAAAAAGTACTTGACTGTGTCTTGCTTTCTAGCCTGCTGGAAAATGACATCTATTGTTCCAATTTTCAAAAACTCTGTTAAACATTCTGACTCCTACAATTATTGCCCAATCAGTCTTCTTTCTGATATTAGCAAGGTCTTTGAGTCTTTGATAAACAAATTTCTCACATCCTATCTTTAGTCAAATAACTTACTGTCAGACAATCAATACAGTTTTCAATCCTTTTGCTCTACAGCTGACTGCTGTGAATAAAATATTTTATCATGCAATAGATGGAGGCAGAGAGACTAGGGCTATTGCTCTTGACATATCTAAGGCTTTTGACAAAGTTTGGCATGCTAGTCTTCTCTATTAGCTTGTTTCATATGGTGTATCTGGGAAAGTTTTTAAGATTATCAAATTGTTTCTTTTTAACTGCTTTATTAAAGTCATTTTCAAAGGCCAAAAATCTTCTTCATTATTAGTAACTTCTGGGGTACCTCAAGGTTCTATCCTTGGGCCTGTTTTGTTTCTTATCTACATAGATGATCTTCCAGACAACCTTACATCTAAAGTAGCTCTTTTTGCTGATGGCTCAACTTTATACTCCTGTCTTAAGAAAAAATCTTCTCTTTTGATCGTTTAGAACAGGCAGCCCATTTTGAACCTGATCTCACTTCTAACAGATTGGGGCTCGCAGTGCTTTTTAAATTTTAACTCCAACAAAACTCAGTTATTTACTGCAAACAATTATCACAATACTGTCAACGTTTCTATATTAATGAATGACAACCTATTTTACTTAGTTCTTCTCTTTAGGTCTTCTTGGATTATCATTTACTACTGACCTTTCATAGAACCCATATATACAATTGATTGCTAAATTAACATCTGCCAAAGCTGCCTCTCTTTATCATGCTCACCATTTTCTTACTCCTGATTCCATTCTCTACCTCAACAAATCTTTTATTTGTCCCTGTATGGAATACTGTCGTCATACTTGGGCAGGTTTTTCTACTGATGCTCTTTCTCATCTAGACAAGATCTAGACTATGTTTACAATGTGTTTTCCAAAAATGAATTGTAAACATAGTTGGAACCGCTCTTTATGCTAAGCTTGAGCCTCTTTCTCATTGTCAAAAAATTTCATCTCTTTCTCTTTTATACAAATACTATCATGGTGGTTGCTCAAAGGAGCAATTATCTCTAGTTCCATCAACTAATACTCATTTTTGCTTGACTTGTCATTCTAAAAACTTTTATTTGTCTAGTTTTTTTTCCCACGTTTAAACACTTTGAAACTCTCTCCT